AAACCGCATGGAAAAGCTAGTTTTAAATAATAGTTAACTCTGTTTTATTGTGATCGGCTGGACATTAGAATTGATTTCCGCTTAACGAAGTTACAATGTATATTTCAGTACTACACAACGGAGGGCATCCCAACACGACAGTTGGACAACAATGTATGTGCGGTGTGTGGCAACAAGCTGCTAGTTGATATCAATGAGGAAGGCATACTCGGTAAGTACAATAAGCTGTGCTCTTAATTTAAAGATATTTAGGGCCGGTCCCACCATTAGCTGATAGAGGCTAAAATAGCTTAAAAAAGATGCCAGTCTTAGATAAATTCGATATTTCACTAACATATTTTACACGTTGGATTGTTATCAGACCATTTGCAATTTGGTGGGACAGGCCCTTATAATATTATGTATATACTTGAAGGTTTTGACTGTTTCTATCATTATATAAAGAAATATTGTGTTGGGAAATCAAACATTAATGTTTGAAGCACCCTGTATATGTTGTGTGTGTTGTAGAGAACACATACAAGCTGCCGTGTGGACACGTGTTCCATGAGTTCTGCATCCGCGGCTGGTGCATCGTGGGCAAGAAGCAGACCTGCCCCTACTGCAAGGAGAAGGTGGACCTTCGACGCATGTTCACCAACCCGTATCCTTTTAAACAACTCCACATTCTTCATCATTTTTTGTTTTAGCTTTATCTGTAACTAACTTTTGCCCGCAGCATGTCTGCGTGAAATTAAAAAACAAAAATGAGTAGCCTATGTGTTCTCCCAGACTATTCTCTACGTCTTCGCCAAATTACATAGAGATCCGTTCAGCTTTTAGGCTACAAACTCTTACCAACATCCATTCCTCTAAACAATGTACTTTTTTTGTTTTCTTCTGTACAAGCAAAGAGTAAAAATCTCTTATTGAAAAATAATCATAGAGTAATTTCATAATTAACTGAAAAAAAAATACTGGCCGTTTCTCAAAACTCATTCCTCGCCATATTAAAAAAAAAAGAACTTAGGAGTATATGTGTTCTAGACTATAGTCAACATCTGTGTCTAACTTCATCAAAATCCTTTTTAGAGATATAATAACAAATATTTCTAACCAAACATTTACATTTATATTAGTATACCTTAACAATAAATCAGCTGGGATCGCCCCCACATCCTGTACGGACAGCTACTGGACTGGATCAGGTGGCTGGTGGCATGGCAGCCGCTCATCCTTTTCTTGGCTCAGGGCATCAACTGGCTCTTTGGACTTGAATGATTACAAGAAACATAGTGACAATATTGTGTCGTGACAGTGTGTGGATAGAATCGTTAATTGGTTACTATACATAGTGAAGAAAAGTGTAATTAAAAGCATTGGTGACATAACAGAAAATATATCAATTTGAAGAAGGAAAACCCGGTGTACTTGACCTATATGTAAGTGAGATTTTAACAAAGAGATGAATTCTCTGATAGTATAATAAACTATTGAATACTATATTATGTCAAAACAATAGCTTCTATATTACCAATCATATTAAAAACAAATATTTAACATTAATATGGTTAATTATGACATATCAAGAGCATATAATATGTTAAAAACTGTTTTTTTCTAATGTTACCTCCAAATTCACAAATAAAATAGTAATTATAAAGTTAAAAAACAAAACAAGATGTAAATCGTAAAATTGTCTTACTATAGTCTATACAGGAGCTTTACGAGCAAGTGGCCATAGGAATTCGCCAAAATAGCGAAATACCCATAGATATCTTTATTTGCAGACGCATTGCTTAAGTTTAATAACAAGAAAAGATATTTCCCTTACCTATATATCCCATTTTCGATAGCTACTGATAAGACCCAAGTGAAAAAAATGGCTTGATCAAGCCAAGGCCCACAAAGGGCTGTAGGCCTAAGAAAGAAGAATATGTCCCCTTTTAGAAATAATTCAAATATTTAATCTAAACTTAACAGTGTTTAAATTGTTTAAACTATCGTGAGACATTACTTTAAGCGAAAATTAATTAAAAACGGCTCAACTCACGCTTTTTTCCTCCGGTGACGGCACCGACTAGTTTCGGATCCTTCGGGGATCCTTCTTCAGGGCGAGTATTATTTAACTTTTGTTCGCGGTCGCGTCGCGCCTAGCACTCGATGCGTGGTGCGACGCTTAACAGTGTTTAGTGACCAATTAATGATTCTTGAGTGTGCCTAAGTGTTGTAATCGTGAACTAGCCACTGTCGATGGCTTCGTCCGTTTTGAAGTATTTTAAAATATCTCTTAATTTAATTTGTTGAAGCTTTTTGTCATTTTAAGCAAATTTGTTGAAATATGTTCATTTCAACTGAAATAAATTTTAATATGTGTGAAAGAGACAATCATTTACGGGTTTTAGTGGTGACTCATTACTATGGTATTATAGTTAATCTATACTATTATAATAAAGCGTAAACACACACTTCTTTGTTACCTAAGATGTCAGCAATTACAGCATATTTTTGAATAATAATTTTTTTAATAAAAATCCCTACACTTACGTCACGCTTTAGCCTATATATTTTCAAGCCATTAAACTTAGGGGGTAAATATTTTGGATAAATCCAGCCCTATCCCTAATGTGGGAAAGAGACCATAAGTTGCTGCCAACATCAAGGAAGCAAGGTTGCCATGGTTTTTCATGTCATGTTTAACATTTGCAATTGATAATTTGACACATGTAAACAATAAAAAAAAAATCATAATTTTTTGCAGATGAAGTCGCACAGGAACAGCTAGGTTTTAAATAATCTAACTAATTGTATAAAAATTCTAAACCTGGTGGCGCTTAATTCTTGTTACACATTTTAATGTACAGAAAGAAATTAGGTTTTTATATTTCAGTTAGCTATACACACGCATAATCACGCAAAATACGCGCTAGTCGTGGAGTTGCGGAAACCGTAGCCCCTACTACTACTAGCTATACACACAATGGAACAGAGTAATATAAGTGTAGTAGACTCGCCTCTTTATAGTATGACAAAAATGAGAATTAAGTCATTCATTTCAAGTTAAGATGCTAGGTCTAGGTCTCTTTGTGACCTACTGTGGAAGGCATAGGATCCATTGTCTAGGTCTCTTTGTGACCTACTGTGGAAGGCATAGGATCCATTGTCTAGGTCTCTTTGTGACCTACTATGGAAGGCATAGGAAAGACCCATGTCCAGTAGTGGGCAAACCCAGACTGATGAAGGTTTCATCAAAGATATGTTCACATTATTTTAAATAAATTGCCTTATGGAAAAGCTATGGTGAAATTAGATCTCATGTAATTCATTGAGAGCCTATATGTAACGCATTTATTGGCATTTTCTGTTTTACTATAGAATTAGAAAATGCATTTGTTTGAATATTTTAGTTTTTATCAACATAAACTGTTATTTTTTTACTGCATTGATATTTAAAAAAAATCGTTATTTTGTTAAATTATATTGTCGTAATTTTTTTTTTTAATCGAGTTTAGTCAAAGTTTTAAAAATATAACTAAATGTTCTTTTTTGTATGAACAAACAAGTATTATTATGGGTTTTGCTTTTGTATGCCACAATAAACTTAATGTTAACTAGGGTTTTTTTTCGATGTTACATTATTGTATAAATAACTTTGTAAATATTATTATTTATTAATTTTATATCCGATTGCAGTTATTGTTAAGATTAGTACAATATTTTTTAATGGAAACTATAGAAAAATACCAAAATAATTAGACAAAATTAAAGCCTTATAAAAATGGTATAGGAATTGTCTATTTGTGTTAGTGTGAATGGTATGAGTAGAAAATGGTATAAATATGTGTTTATAATTGTAGTTTGTTATTTAGGTATGTAATAAATTTACTTTGTTTCACCTTTTATGATATTACTTTGGACATGGATGGATGTTTATAATTTAAACAAATGTAAAATGGAGACTTTTAGAGTCTTTATTTAAAATTTAAATTTTATAGATGTTTTTTGCACTACATTTCATATAAATGTAAATATCTTCTTTCTCGAAGGCGGTTTTTTTAACAAGACATATTTCCTAAATTTATTTCCTGCCCTAAAATCTTTTGGTAACAATTTGTTGTAAGACTTGATTCTAAGTGGGAAGCGAATTTAATTCTTTGACTATTACGGTACGAATACAATTTTATACAAGCTAAAATGGCCGCATTATTGTACCTCCTGGTAAGTTCTGGTAGTCTCATAATTCGTTATAAACCGACTTAAATCTTGTCATGTCTCATGTTATTGTGGTCGAGTTGTACTCTATACTGAGACGATTAGAAAATAGTCATAAATGTAAGATGTACGATTTATAGATTGTTTTGTACAGCAAATAAATTAGTTTCAATAATTTAAATGTCTTTTATTATAGGATTCCGTTGTAACGAGTTCATGGCTCTGCTGAAGAAAGCAAAATTAGTATTAAAACGAAAAGGTGGGAAAAAGCATGAAAAATCAATGAAAAGTACTACTTAATAGAAGGATAAGATAGATTTTTCTTTGTATTAGTTATCCATCCATCCAAGAATAAATCCTTTTGGCAAGTATTTTCAAACGAACCTCTTTCTTATAACTATTCTAGTAGACACTGACCAGCCAATTACGTTTTAAGAAAATATTTTTCCATATTCAACTTTCAAATACGTCAAATATCATTTATTCAGAATGAAAATCAGAATTATTCTTCAAAAATTAACTCAAAAATAATGTAGATAATTTTCGTAACGTAACAAAAGATAAATTTACTGTACAAATTCACAATGGGTACCATTAGATATTGCAGCCAAATCAAAAATCTGAATCACATTTTGGCCGCGAGCAACCATAGTATCGGACAAGCTATTGTATCAGGTACCTTTTAATATCTTCTAGATAATTCTTAACATTTCCTATTTTGCAGCCAGTACGCTATTCCCGTTAAATACAGTCTCCTTATGTTCATCTTAACAAGATCAAGTAATTGTCATTTTCCAGTTATCCACTTCTTTAGGTGCACCAGGTTTTCGTCATACAGGTTCATCTACAATCATCATATTTCTTGATCATGTCACCTTTCACGCAATCCATCTATCTCTTTCCAATCATTAGTACATTTAAAACTGTATTCATCTTTCAAATGTTTGAACTCTACTACAGAGAAAAGTTGTTACATCGCGAGATTCCCACCTCTGGATTAAATACTTCATAATTGCAGCACGTCACAAGAGTTACTCTAAGGACAAGGATTGCTGTCGGGAATTGACGCAGGGTGAGGGTAAAACGGTGGTGCCGTGGCCACGTGCACCCATGTGGCCCTGCAACTTCCCCGAGGAGCCGCAGCCCCCTAACTACGACCCTTACAAGATTAAATCACCAGACGTTGTCGTGCCACCCCTCCCACCCAGCAACGCCAAGGTAATTAACACAGCTTGATCTACAAGTCCATCATTTTGTTTTAGAATACCAAATTCACATTTAATATTGATTTTATACTCGTCTAAACAATGTACATGCATTTGTTTCGTTGTATTCTTCATTATTCAATCATTTTACCCGGAGTCTGTTGATTTCGGTGACTGCATTAATTGTTTACCTTACAGTTTAAGTATATGTTAGTGCGTTAGACGAAATCAGAGCCCTTGAGCGTCGAATTAGAGATCTAATGAAATCCAGCTTGTGCTTTGTTTGTCAGTGGACTGGATTCGTGTTCGTGACGTCAGGCCAGCAACCAGGCCAGGGCTACCCGGGCTATCCGCAGCACTATCACCAACCGCCGCACATGCAGACAGGCATGCCGCACGGCCACATGGAGCAGGAAGCCGAGAAAGAGGAGGAGCCTAAGGGCTTCTTTACTACTTTGAAAGAGATGCTCGGATTGAAGAAGAAATCTAAATCCGATAAAGATTCGATGATCGCCAAAAGGATTCTGTAAACGGCTGTTACGGACTGCAGTAGAAAACTATTTACAACCTCGAGATTCGACAATGTAATCCATCTGATTTTCTGAGAATTTCGTCCAACGCACTAAAAACGATATCGGTGTTATTTCAAAAGTAAATTTCTTTGGCAGGAAGTTCCAAGTGGAGACATACGAACAGAGGGCACGACTAAGTCGGCCGACAGTTTGAATGTTAGGCAACCGAATCCGATAAGAAGTTGGTTCCAACAGACGCCCATCGTTCATCCAGACAATTGGAAGCGAAAATCTATGAATAAGATGCAAAGACTGGAGAACGAGGTGGGGTCGGAAATGACGCCGCGGCTGGGATACCACGGCAAGACTAAGTACAAGTACGCGTTCCACGAGCCCTGGAACCCCCTGGACCGACTGACATTGCTCGCGCAGGCCGAAAAGGAAGAGCATCCAGAAGTGCAACAATCTGCCGATGACAATAACAAACAATTGACGTAATATAAGGGTTCTGATTTCGTATGAAAATGTAATGAAATAAACAATGAAACATCACTTATTTTTATTTTAGCGCCAGTATAGTTAAAATAAGTTTAGATTTTTCATCTAATTCACAATCATGATAAACTAATTTAAACATCAAACACAAATACATTTTTAGCATTATATTGTCTACTTACCACATGAAGGGTTTCACGTGATACCAAAGGTTTTTTCACGAAATATAAAATCTCTTAAGAGTGAAAGAATGTCGTAGATAGCAATGTCCTAACAATGTTACATTCATACTGAAAATAATACAGAGAAACTAAAATCTTTTGTGCTGGTAATTATTTAATCTATTGTCGATATGGACCCATAAAATTTAAACTTGGTTATGGTAGTATTGAAGCAAGCAATCCTGTGTTGCTCTCCAGCCCATGCTGGAGTGCAGCCGCCAAAAGGGTCCGTGCTCGATGAAGCCGGTGCCAGACCCGCCGCCCTGCCCACCCCCTCCACCACCGCCCTTCCCCTGGATATACGTGTGGGGTCTGGCCTCTTTCCTAGGGACTGTGGGCTTGGTAAGAACCTTTTATAACCATATATACTAATATTGTAAAGTGGAATGATTTGTATTTTTGTATGTATTGAAAAAACTCAAAAAGTACTCTTCCGTGAGTAACATAGGCTATTTTTTTTATTTTTGTAATTTCACGCGGGTGAATTCGCAAGCAATAGCTAGTCATCAGCAACACAACTCCAGCCCGTAACTGAAAGGCGTAGACAGGAATTACAGACTTCTATTTCGTGCGATCTTGCTTCATTTCTAGGATCATCTGCATCGATGCAGACGCGTTCGTGTTTTAGGGAAACTTCTAAAATAAATTATCAACTATTCACTTTAAATTAACAATTAAAACTTATTTGTAGATTTACAAATTATATTTATGGAAAGAAGAGCAAGATAAACTTGGTGAAAATATACCAATATGTAAGTATTATGGTCTCTGATAGATTTATTTATAGGAGCGATGCATCTTATTTAAAAAGCTCATACAATCTCAGGGTTTCCCGGTAATAATCACGAAGTAACGGCTCGCGCCGAGGCTTCTGTTAGTGACTCATAAACGAGGTTTAGGCTAAGCGCCATCTGCGCTCGGCCACCTCAAGCCCGGTGAATCAAACTGTGGCAATTTAGTTACAAAAAAAGTCAATGCTAGAGCTTACCCAGATGACTAGATTTTACTCAAACACTAATGCAGATTGATAGACACTTAGAATTTGCAGATATATGAAGGATTTTGTTTACGATTTCCTTAACTATATGCATGTTTACGTAGTAATTTAAAACTAGTGTTTATTGTTAATTTATCGTATATCAGGGCGTCCAAGGCGGGTAATAAAGCGGCCATTCCACGAAAAGGATCTACCACCTTGCGTTCAGTATTTGATTATCGGCGCTGGCGCGGCAGGTTGGGCTGCCTACAACTCTATTATGGAACATGATAAAACTGCTAAGGTGTGTTTGTATTATTAAGTATTACCAAAGGAATGGAACAAGTTGCCGGCCTCAGTGTTCCCGTCGAGTTATAACGTAGGTGCCTTCAAGAGCAGGGTGAATCGGCACTTATTGAGCTAGCGCGCTCTAATTTTCGGCCGCGTCTTCTCTTAGCTTAGGTGGAGTAGTGGTCAAGCGCTGGTTTATTTATGTAAAAAAATAAAAAAATAAAGTTTATGGTCACATCAGCTGGCTTTAATTTTAGGTTCAGGAATTATATCTCTTTCCACACATGATCCATGATACTTGTTTACTTATTTTGTCAAAATTATAAGATTTTTTTTATTTATTTATCAAACAAACAGTACAAAATACATAAATAAAAACGTCCATAAACCTAATAGCGGATTTGTCGAGACACTTTTGTACTACGCTATACAAAGTAACAGTAGGAAAGATTACATTTATAAATTTTTACATTAACTGAGTTTGCTCATACCGTCATATACAGGGTGCATATACGGGTTGTAGTTTTATTAGGATTTAGTTTTTAAGTTTTTATAGTTAATATTATTTTTAACATCGGGATGTAATTTTTTTATTAATGTAGGTGTTAGATTAAAGTGAAATGATATTGTAAGAGTTATCTAATGGTAGCTATGCAAGAAACTGTGTTTTTTCATCTTCTCTGTTAATTCTGGGCACTCACTTTCTACTTCTTGTAGGTGTTCTTCGTAGCCAAAGAAGACTGCTTACCGTACAAACGACCTCCGATGTCTAAATACATGTGGTGGAACCCGGAGCCGCCTGATATCAAGAACCTTTATTACGTTCAGGATTGGAAGAAGAAAACGTATGCTTTTATCTATTTGCTTTACTAGTTGCTCTTGTGAAAGCTTTTTATTTAATTGTGTTCGCCTATAACCACTGTATATCCCTGCCGAGTTGTATATTTCATGTAGATACTCGTATATTTCAGCATGTATTTGTCCGAGTGCCAAAACTTTTTGGACCCGGTGAAGTTTTACCGCAAGAAGACTGGTCCAGCGCTTTCCATAGCGACTGGATGGTGTGTGTTGCGCGTGGACGCCGACAGCCACGTCGCCTGGATCAAGACGCTCTGCGGCGAACAGCCCATGTACTACGAGCGGTGTTTAATAGCACCAGGTCAGTCTGAACGAGTAGACTAGAGTAGACCAAACTCTCAACCATACACCGCTATCTTCGGTGTATTTACATAATAAATCTCGTATATATGATATCTGTTTCTATGCTATAAGTTAGAGGAGGACATGAAGGTTTACATTTAAAGAACACTAAAAGAACATTGGAGTGTTGTCGTCTTATCTAGAAACAATGAAAACGCGGCCAACTCCTCTCTTATTCTTATGTTTGCTTAGGATCTAAACCGAAGCAGCTATCGATGTTCAAGAGTGCGCCGAAGGCTGTGCGTGACCGCGTGTGCACTCTGCGTACTATCCGTGACCTGGAGATTGCGTACAGGAGTGTTAAGAAGTCGAAGCACGTGGTGGTGATTGGAGGGGGCCCGCTCGGCTGCGAGCTCGCCTGGTACCTCGCCAGAATGAGTGAGTTACTACCCCACGTATAGTGTGCTTCTAACAATGTGCCTTAATTCAATATTCTGATTGGTTAGTTTATGCTGAGCTGAGGCTGTCGTGTATGCAATTTACTTTTCTATTTTTTTTTTTTTATAATATTGTTTAGAAATACTTTAAGAAATCCTCCAACTTTTTTTTTTAATAAATAGTAGATATCTGATCGTTAGGCATTAGGGTATTTGGTCTTTATTAAATTAACCGTCTACAGATTCTCTTGTATTTCTAACAGATAAATTAGACAAGGAGCTAGACCCGGATCACGAGCCAATTAATATAGTTCACGTGTACAAGGATAAAGGCATCATGGCGAGCGTGATACCGGAGTACTTGGGCGAGTGGGCCGCAGAGAAGATAAGAAAGGAAGGCGTCACCATACGGCCTAAAAGTATGAACTCATTTCATTAAAAAGTACCTACAGTAATTTTGAAACTCTACTAATATGGTATGTTTTGCAGCCCAAGTGTATGACGCCTTCCAGTCAGAAGACGGCAGGCTTGAATTGACATTGTCTGATGGATCATCGTTAGTCACAGATTATGTAAGATTTGTTTTTAAATATATTTCTATGTCGTATTTCAGATTGATTGCTTCTGTATAGAAGTCAAAAGAATGTTTGAAAAGAAAATGTACAACAAAGAAAACAATTAACAATATTTATGTTACTAAAAGATAATGAGGTTTTCAATTAGTGGAAGATTTTTTAAAATCAGTCCAGTAGTTTTTGATTACTCGTGACAAACATAGAGATGTCCAATCAGTGTATATTTTTGCGATTCAAGGCGTTTGTGGCGGTGGGCTCTCAGCCATGTATGGAACTAGCTGAACCTTCTTATCTCGAGGTGGATGATGTCAATGGAGGCTTCTTGGTGAACACGGAGTTGATGGCGAGGACGCATCTATACGTGGTAAGAATTTGATAACATTATGGCGATTAATGTATTTGCTCTTTAAGTATATGCGGAATTACTTCTAGCAGAGTGATTTCTGTCTGGTTTGTTTAGCTGGCGCTACAGTGCATCAGATATTGGCGTTGCTGACATCTACTATTAAATTAAAAGCTTGTTTATATGTTATTGCTACAATCATTGTTTAAATAACGATAACTTTGTTTAAGGATGTTTTTAAATAATCTCATTTTGAGTACTTATTTTATGCCATAGGCTGGTGACGCGGCGAGCTTCTACTCGCAGTGGAAGGATACGCGGCTGCGGCTGGATCACTACCTGAACGCACAAGAGCAAGGCTACGTGGCGGGCGCCAACATGACCGGCTACTGGACGCCCAGCAATATGGAGCCCCACTACTGGCTCCGGCTTGAGGAGGAGCTGCAGATGGAGGTATCGAGAATTTAAAATCTTTGAACATGATTTACGTTTACTATTATTACCCCGATATCAAAATATTCTAGATGTCCTTCGTTACTAAGCTGCTTATTATGTTCACTTCAATTTTATTCTTCATCTAGTTTCTAGTCCAAGAGTTTCCAGTAATAGACCAGTCTCGCTTGAACGGCCGGCGTAGACAACGTTACATTCGCATTACATGTGTTTGACAGTGGTATTGAGTTTAGGTAATATCGCAGGTTGTAGGCGAGGTGGGAGCGTGTATGCCAACGATAGCCATCTTCAAGCAGTGCGCAGAGGAAGCGGCTAAGGAGACGCAAGCGTCGGCGCCGGCGAATAGCGGCGGCGGGGATAGACCTTGTTATAAAAAGTACAGTATTTAATAAAAACCGTAATTTCTTTGCAAAGAGAAAATACCTAACACGATTTGGAAGTCATAAAACTTGCATAAGAAACGTAGAATTAAAAATTGACAAGCGTTGGTAGAGCCCCATAAAAATAAGTTGACAGTTATTGTATCTTCAATCAAAACAATAAATATTTTTATTTAAACTTGTAATGACGGATCCAATGAAGTACTGAAGTTAATCGCTCAATAAAAATGTGTATTCGATTTCAAAACCATTGACTAGATTCTTATGATGCTTTACCAAGTTTCTAGGATACTAGGGTTTTAGTCAGGTTAAAATCAGAAATGTGGGTGTTAACGAAAGCATATCCTCTTAAGTTAGGGGCTGTCTTGCCACTAATTGATAGAGGCTCAGCTTAAAAATGCCAATACAAAATTCCATATTTCCATCACATGTTGGACACGTTAGATTCTAATCTGCCGATTTAGAAGAATTTGGTATTACTGACTCTTAGTCTCCAGTAACAATATCTGCAGGAGCAACGAGTACCAGACCCGGTACCTGCGGGGTCTACTGATGTACATGCGCGATGAGACCGTGGTCGGCTTCGTCTTTTGGAACATGCCGCCAATAGACGACCGCGCGGCTGTCGCTACTGAGGTAATATACTAAAACGGGTACATAAGGATCAAGGAACTATAGGCCTAAGAAGAGATAGACTTCGTGAAAGGTGACATAATTAAGAAGAGAGTGATGTCTAGACGAATTTAGAAGATGAAATGAGGTGCGTCTCACAAGAGGGGATAGGCATAGGGATATGTGGAATGAGTGATAGAGACAGCTACAAAAATCAGTCTTTGTAAACATTTTGACCACTCACTCACCATTGATCTTAATATTGCACAAGTGTTGTCTCTGATTACTATGAGCTTATATGGAGGTGCGCACACTACTCGATTTTTATTTGTGCAACTAAACAGTTAAATTGCGAAACGATCGACAATCGCACAACAGTTGTGCGATAGTTTAGTCAAAGATGTGCACCAGCTCTAAAAATTAACTACCTTATCATGATTATGCCTGGTTATTTTTATTATAATTTTAACTATAGCATAAATGCAATTTTAAAGGTATGGTTTTTATTGTTTTTACTTCATGCATATCTTATTACGTATGATTTTTCTGTTTTTTTTTCTTGTTAGATTTTGCGCGCGAAGCCATCGTACAAAGACATCGACCTGATCGCCGAACTACTCGGCTTTGTTGACACCAAGTGTATCTACAAAAAGCAGGAGGAACTGATAGAGAAGGGCCCATGCATCAAGAAGTAAGTAAACTAGAGGCAGTCCGGCTATTAGTAATTAATTAGGAGACAAAGAAGTTCTAAGATTTCCTTAAAAAATTCGCTTTACCAAATTCACTTCTTTTTATAAATCCGTTATTATGTAACTTATACAAAATGTTATATGCAATTGAATTTGTTTGGATAATTAACGTTTATTCTTTTGTTTTGCAGTTGGAGAACATTCTAGAATAAAGAAAACCAAAGGCTTGCAAATATATCCGTTTCTGGGCATAGTGTTTTGATAAATTTTGTAATAGAATAAAGTGAAATGTTTTTTTTTATTTAGCTGTTTTACTTTTGTTCTTGTGTACTTTTTGGATAGTCATTTAAAATTGTCAAGTAGACAGATGGTTTTCTACATGTACTTTTTGATTTTATAATAGAATTAATAACGGCAAGTCACCCAACCGGGGCAAGTAGAGGTTATGAATTTTTGGCTACAATAATCTATCCACATTTTTGTTTTAAAATGTTGCATAAACCTTTTTTTACTGTCAAAAAAAAGGTTTTATATATTTCTAGAAATGGATAGTTCATTGTTTTAAAATGACATCTTTTGCTTTGTTTCAAGTAAAGCGCGTAAATGATAATTGATTCTTTCTAGATTATTAGTACGAAGTCTCCCCACTTCTGAGAACCGCAACACTCAGCGCCAATTTGGCGAATTTCAAATAGGCACAAAACAACAAGTCTTTTAGCCGTTCCATGTTTAGTTTAGTGGGTATTTTGAACTGTCCGAAAATAAACTTTGTCCAATATAAAAAAATATGTCATATATTGACATTAAATTATTAACACTCGATTTTAATTATAATTTCTAAACATTTCCTTAATTTTATTTTAAAATATAGGTTTAAAATTAAGTTAAGATGTACAGTAAGAAGAAAAAGATAAAATACCACGATGTGGTGTTTGATAATACCACAAGAGATGCCATCCCCAAGCGAGGGTATTACTCCGAACTTGTCGCCAACATGCTCAAAGAAGAACCATCGAAAGAGCAGTGCGCTAAGAAGAGAATGAAGTTAATACTGCAGGTAAGTCAATAGGACTCCGATTAAAGAAAAGTGAGTAATTAATACTACCCTTTCTGTACAAAGAAAGGTTAAGGGAAGTGGATTTAGTTGGGGAAGAAACGCACAAGTGAGGAAGTCTACCTGTGCGTCCTATCCAGTGCGGATGTCTGTCATCTTGTATTGTAAAAAAATATCTAACAATATGTCGCTGTATTCGAATTATTGCAGAAGACTTATCCAACTCTTCACTGATGATGGTCTGATTTAGATGTAAGGATTACAACTAAGGTATTAGCATTTCGGTTTAGTCTTCAAATATTATAAAGGTTATAAAAAATATTAAGATTCAATCAGTAAATTAACTTAACGACAAATCATTTAATGGGTACGGAATATATGTTCGTGTGAATAATAGGCAAAAACAGACAAGTTGGCTCCGATGCTGATCTCCTTGCCCAAGCCCCAGAAGCCGAAGGTTCTGCTGCCGCCTGGCCGCTGGACTACTTACAGGGAGGACGAGAGTGTCGTAAGTCTATAGGGAAATAAATTAATCTAAATCATATAAGACTCTTATTAGAGTATTCTTTTGTTCTACGTGGCAACTTAGAGTAAAGAACTATCATAGTAAATGATAATTGTTACTATGAATATCTCCGTCCTTGTTCATTTTGTACCCAAAAGCAGAGATAGCGATAGTGTTCGTATTTCACGCATTTAATCTTTGTCAGCTTTTTAATTTTCAGCAATTTCCGTTTGAAACGTTCGTCCCGAAGCTGCAATTCTTGAGTGTTGTGTTGCCGAAAGAGTTACCCAGACTGGTTAAGATCGAACGTCTAAGGAGGAAGTTCCTGGCTTCTAATATCAAGGTATACCTGTATTATAACGTCATCAGACTTATGTCTCATGTTGTCGTGCACGGGTAGTAATTGTACCTGTTATGTGTACCAGAAAATGCTCCGAGAGTTGGGCATCCAACCGTACTGGCTTATCCCACCGTCGGAGTATCCCATACAGGACAACGTGCGTTATGGCCTGTACAGCACATACCCAAAGTTGGACCTGGAGGTATTCGACAATACCGACTTTGATTGCAGGTTAGTTTTCTAAAATAATTTTATAAAATAACAAACTTTTGTCAACTGTTTCTCGTTTACGATTGGTTTATATTATGTTCCGTGTAACTAATCGGCGCTCGAAGCTATCTTAACAGTGTCCAAATACGTCACTTTTTCAACTAAATCGTTAAATGCACAATTTGTCAAAACAGGGTCCCAGAGGAATGGCTGGCGTTAGGTAATATTGAAGGAGAGCTCTACCCGTGTCCCGGGCTCGCGTTCGTGCCCAAAGAGGAAGGTGCCAACAGGGGTCCTGGGGATATTATACAAATGCTCAACAACTTGTATGAGGTACTTTATAATTATACTTAAAAATATGCCAAAGAAAATAGTGCCCTTTTTTTAAATCCGTAAAAAAAGAATAAATCTGAATTAGATCGAATTTCAACCAATGGGTAATCGTTTTTGATGTGGATAGTATAGTTTTATTCCAGTGGACCAATGTAGCGATATACAGCTTCGATAAACTCACTGATAAGTGGGAAGTGATGGCGTTGGATGGCTCCAAGCGACGGTTCAAGTGAGTGATTTTAAATATGACAGTTTCTGTGAAGTTATAATATTATCGGCTAGAAGACGTCACGTGGGTAACACACTCAATGAGCACCATATTCATCCGTACGAGTATCATGTTCTACTACTTCATAATGTTAAGAATAAAATTAGTACCGTGCTCTAAAATTGATGCAACACTAGACTGCATAAACGTCACGTCCCTAGCTGACAGATGTCAATGTCATAAGAAGGATGGATATTCGCGCGCATTCCTGGCTGGACCGCTAGTTTAGAGTGTTAAATTAATATCCCTAGTAACAATTATATTAATTGTTTAAAAATAATATACCTACTTTAGAAAACCCTGCACTCTTGGATATATAGCATAGTCTGTCTCGTTGCATCATCTAAAAAAAGAGGTAGGTTATTGCTCCTTGAAGCCCGTTTTAAAGTTGATAAATTCCAGCATCCCCCGTATTCGTCTGATGTTCAAAGCAGACGACCCCGAGACGTTTGCGCAACGAGTTAAATTCGCTATTGACTTCCGCAACGAAGTGGAGAATAATATAAGGTTATTACACAGATTAATACAGTTTTCATTTATCAATATCTTATGAAATGCAATTAACTCTCAAATAAACAAAAAAAAGTCTTCTTTATTCATCATCATTGCTATTGCATATGCAATCATGATTGCTTTCTAGCAGCGATCGGTTCGTGCTGATTCATTTCTTTGTAGAATTGTCTTAACCAAAATGAAGAAAAAAGGTCAACGGTCAAGGTCACGACTATATCATTTGCTAGGTTCTATCTATATCTGGACTGCCTGATCTTGCACGGGCTTCCGCTGATGCCCCTGCAGTACATGCCGGGCATCGTACGAATGGTGCGGATACACAAGCAGGCCAAGGACGTGGACGAGGAACATATGATCAGGCTTAGACATGAGGTTGGTCCTTCGAGCCGGATAAGCGAGATTCTATGCCCTTACGATATTACTGGTGTCTTAATACAGTTGTCACTTGACTTATTTTAACACAGACAAATTATGTTATATACTAAAGATACGTAATTAGTGTTATTTCTTAACTAGGCGGAGCTCCTGTACTCAAAGATGGAGGGCAAAATGAAAATGATATACATGGTACAAAAATATCCCGGCATGTACAACTTTGTTCGACCACCGACCAAAGAATACGTACCCCCTGTGCCGAAATACGGTAAGTTTTAATTATAACCTGCAAATCTGTCAGACATAGAATAGACACAACAGATATGCGATAGTGTAGTCAAAGAAAAGGAAACATTTTTCTTTTAGTCATACATTTGTTAAAATATTGTTTAAGGTCGTAAGAAATGTGTGATGGAAGATTTCGCTGGACGTATGAAGTATAACCAATGGTATTCGTTGTATGTACTTACAGAGTCCGTCTCTTGTATACACTTGGTTGTAGATGAGTGCTTAAAGGTAAGAAGTGGAGTGCTTCATGTCAATGAAAGTGTACACTCCTAGCCATAAAATTTTTGCAACATTAATGCAATGCGATTTTGAATTTAATTTTCAGGTAGAAGGGATGTTGTTTTTCACCCTAAATTACGGCAGGAATGTCGGACTACCGGAGTTTGATGCTGCACAACAGCATTGCACGCAAATGGTAGCGATGTTTTTCTTATACTGGTCTACTAGGTAACACGATGTACCGGTAATATATTGATTTTTGTTCACAGATGCTTAAATATCTGACCATAACCTGGTTGAACAACACCGCACACGCCATCAGGATGTCATTCAGAGATGTTGGGAAAGGGTAAATGATCAGTCTAATTAGCTCTACAGCTGTTATAGAAAGAGAGTTTAGCTTATATGTTTTTGCAGATGGTTCAATATCTACGAGAAGCAGTGGCAGTTTTACTCTGTTAGCAAACTATGTCGATTCATGCAGCTTGTAAGATTCCGTATGCAGGTACAAATATTTTGAAAAAGTTTCTAGATAGAAATATATCCTGTGTTGACCCTATGATGCATGCATTTTGCCAGTATGCACTTCGGTACTGCATTGAACAATCAATGCTGATGTTTGTGACGCTGTGCGAGACGCCCTGCTTAGTGACGTACAGCTGCGAGGAAGACTATGAGTGGGACACGAACGACCTCATCAACTCTCCCTTCACCTCGCACACCCCGCCCCTCTTCTACTTTCATCTAATGATGAACGAGGATGGACCTTATTATACCACGCCGCCGGAGCAATTTGAGGTCAGTTGATGTTTTTTTTTGTTAGTTTTTAATATTTTTTCCTCAGTTACAATAATGTGTATGTGGTGGTTCCCCGTTTCCTTTAAAGTATTTCTTATACTTTCTATAAACTAACTGATGACGTGTCTTTTTAGATTGTAATCCAGCGTTTATTCCGCGAGATGCTGTATCGATGCCACTTCATACCTCAAGTCCATCCTATGATCCTAACTGGTCTGGTTTTCGACAACGAGCTTGTTCTTACGTCTATAGGTGTGCTTACAGTTTCTTATTATTTTATTTATTAGTTTTGAAGATTTTTACAACTTCCTCGGGTTATAGAGTAGGGGTAAAAAGCTAGATGCTACATTTTTGGTTAACTCACTTTTGTAGGTCTAATGGAACCTAATGTGGTGGACTATCGCGAGAGGCTTCTGAAGGCGTACCGCAAGGCGATCATCCCGCTCAAAGCATACATGCGACAGTACGAAGAATATAGGGACATATTTCTTCTCACCATCGAGGACTATGTCGAGTGAGTTTCCCTATTTGAACATTCTAAAAGATATTACGGTTGTTATAAAATTGTTATTAATATAAATAGAAACTTCCGAGAAGAGAAACATTCAGCGTCAGAGACAAGAGAAGAGGTGCAGACCCACTACGACGCTAAGGAGGCGCTTATTCTACGTTTGCCGCAGTACATTACTATTGGGCCCTTCTCTATAAACGTTGACACATTAAAGGTACCTCTTTAGCCATACTTCATACTTACTAGAAGGTTAGCTGCGTGAAAAACATTAGCTTTGGTTTTTCTTCTAGCAACTGCTAGTAACGAAGCGATCAGATATAATGAAGGCGCTGCTAGTAATGTGGGCGGAGGAGGTACGCATCGCGGTGGATGACGTCATCATGACGTACAAGTCAGTGATGCGCAAGCTGGGCGAGAAACCGAACACTATCGAGCAGGTCTTCGAGATCAGAGAGTGGATGGAAAGCATTCCTTTCGCATTGAAGACACAAGATGACAACATGAAGAAAATTAATACGGTAAAATAAGTTTTCTAAATGTAGTCTTCAAAGGTTGCATTCTATGCCTTATTTTTGAGTAAAAATGATACAGGACAGAATACAGTACAGAAAAAGACACTTTTTTTTTCAGGATTACGAAGTGTTGGATGCATTCTTTACGCCGCTAGAAAATGAAGATTTCAGAGCATTGTGGGAGGCTATAGGATGGCCGCTTGTTATTACAAAGCAGGCTAGTTTCAATTTCAAATTTTCGATTTAAATTAAAAGTTCTTTTGCATTTTCCTTATCCTTTTGTGTCCAGGTTGACGCAACAACGGACTTCTTGGAGGAGGAGCAGGAGAAATTCTGGAAGTTGCACCAGCAGGACGAACAAACACTCTTTGACAAGATAGATATGTTCACCTCGCAGTGCATGGCGCTCACGCTGCAGAACGACATGACCAGGGTAATGTAGATATTAAAAACAATATAGCATTTTGTATGTTGATTCAAGTAATTTATGGTAAAAAATCGATTGGTCGTTACCACTTAGGTGCACTTAATGAAGTTGCAGAGAGAACTTGTGTGATATTGTTTATTTGAAGGGGTTATAGGTTCTGATACGTTAAATATAGTATTTTACTGTTTTGTAGGTGCATGAAATAGCAAACGACATCAAGAAGGCATGGAAGGCGATGAAGGAGTCTCAAGATTGGGGCCGTGTCCTCAACCAGCGGCAGAAATTGTTCGGACAGCCCGTGATACCGTTTGCGGATCTTAACAGACTTGTTAAAGAGTTTGAGCCGTATAGAAACCTCTGGGTGACAGCTTCTGGTATGTGTATTAAGAATATAGGATTGAAAAGAAATAGAGTTGCCTTTCTTTGTGACAATTAACAAATATTTTTTTAGATTTCTTGAAATCACGCGAGGTGTGGTTCGACAACCCGTTGATGTATGTCGACGCTGACACCATCGAGCCTCTTGTCAGCGAATACTACAAAACCATACTAAAGTGCATTCGTACTTTTGCCGATCTGCCTAAAATACAGAAAGTTGCTGTGGATATTAGGGTAACTACGGCAATATTTTTAATATTTCTAGGCATTGAAAGTAAGTAATTATCCTAGAAATAAATCTTTGAATCTCACAGGACGATATCGATAATTTCAAACCACTGATACCGATCCTCCAAGCTGTCAAGAATCCCGGAATGAAAGAAAGGCACTGGAAGGAGTTTATGGATAGAGCTGGTGACTTATATTTTTAATATCAAAGATTACTTCAAAATCCCGCATTAACTTTACCTTTTTGGTATTACCAAAAAGGTCATCTCGGATTAAACTTTTATAGCGGGTGCACACATACTAAACTATCACACAACAGTTGTGCGATTGTCGATTGTTTCGCGGCAAATTCAAATGTTAACATAATTATCTATTACTTCAGGTATCACGGTGACAATGAACGAGAAACAAACGTTTCAAATGTGCCTGAAGCAGGGCGTGGCGGCGCACGGCACGCTCATCTCGGAGATCGGCGAGCTCGCCTCCAAGGAATATGTTATCGAGCAGTCACTCGACAAAATGCTCAATGAGTGGGCCAACAAGGTCATGGAAGTATCTCCTTATAAGACTACAGGTAGAAAACTTTTTAGACTAGCTATTGTTCGCGACTACGTCCGCATGAAATTATAAAAAAATATACAGTCTATGTTACTCACTGATAACGTAGCTTATTAATCTTACTTCTTACTAATATCATAAATGCGAGAGTTTAGTATCATAAATGAGAGGATGTTTGTTAGAGTTAGCAGCCTAAACGGCTGAACGAATTTAGATGGAAATTAGTAAAGATGTAGAGGATAGTCTGGTAGAACACATAGGCTATTCACTTTTTTTTTAATTCCACGCGGACTGAGTCTCGGGCGAAATCTATAATTGAAATTCAATACATACAAAAATACAAATCTTTCCTCTTTAGTATATTAGTATGGATGTTTTCTAATTTACAGTTTTAACGGTTTCCCTAGAACACTATGGGGAGTGGTTTTGTGAAATGTAAATAAATTGTCTTCATTTACGTTATAAAATAATTGTTAAGGCACGTACATAATGAAGATAGCAGACGAAACGCTGCAGTTGCTGGACGAGCACTTGCTGAATACGCAGCAGCTGGGCTTCAGCCCCTTCAAGGCTGCCTTCGAGCTGCGCATCCAGGAGTGGGACGACAAACTGCGCCTCACGCAGCGCGTCGTCGACGAGTGGATCGAATGCCAGAAGTACGTGAGCACTTTTGCCATGTGCCATGTGATTTTCTCAAATTTCATTATTGGCGCTGGTTTAATATTAGGAACTGATTATGTAGAATTGTAAACCAATATACAGACATCATAGAACTTAAAGTTATCTACAAATTGTGATTCTTTGGCCCTGTCCCACCAAATTGTAAATTGTCCGATAACAATCCAATGTGTAAAACACGTGATGTAAATATCGGATTTTGTTCCCTTATCTGACAGTGAAGTCAATTTTAAGCTATCTGAGCCTCTAGCCAGTGGTGGGGCTGGCCTTTAGTGTAGCTTTTTGACTGTTAAAGTTTTTTTTAGTCAAGTATACTTTATGTCAGGCAATGGATGTATTTGGAGCCGATCTTCAATTCTGAAGATATCTCGCGTCAGCTACCCTTCGAAGCCAAGAAATATGGCACCATGGAGAGGATCTGGCGCAGGATTATGGGCACCGCTGCTGCTTGCCCTAAGGTATGAAGATTTTGATGTGTGTTCTCGACGGAAGGTTCCAGAGGGAAAACCTCAAGATTTATCATTGATATATTTCAGATAATGGTAACGTGTCCCGACAGTCGGTTACTCGACAGTCTGGTGGAAGCGATACATCTGCTGGAGATCGTGGCCCGAGGTCTCAGCGAGTACATGGAGGTGAAGAGGATCCGGTTCCCGCGTCTCTTCTTCCTCAGCGACGACGAACTGCTAGAGATTCTCTCGCAGTCACGCAATCCGCGCGCTGTGCAGCCACATCTCAGGAAGTGCTTTGAGAATATCGCCAAGGTAAGCTTAGCATTTGCTTAATTCTATCTATATCTACTTATGATAATGATGACAATAATTTGAATCTCATGATTGTTTATGCTTATAAACATAGAATTTTATTGCAGGTTACTTTCGAGGTCGATTTGAAGATAACAGAAATGCATTCGAGTGAAGGCGAAATTGTGGAATTGAAATACAAATTCTATCCAACCGCAAACGTGGAGCAATGGCTCTTACTGTTAGAAGATACTATGAGGCATACAAGTGAGTAGACAACAATGTAATTGACATTAATTACAATTATATAATTGGAAATAGAAAATTATTTCTGTAGGGCTTTTGCAGTGTATATGTACGTAAGATATGTGTGCAAATTACAGTTCGTCTGACGCTGGTGGCGGGTCTGGAGGAGCTGTACCGGCTGCCACGTAACCAGTGGGTGCTGCGGTGGCCGGGCCAGGTGGTGATTGCGGGCTCGCAGCTTGCATGGACGGCTGGTGTAGAGGAAGCCATCACGGAGTACCGCATGGAGGAATTCTTTGAACAAATGCTGCAACAGGTATAACTAAAGACTTCTACACAAGAGAAAGACTCTATCAGTTAGTTAGTTAAGACATATTAAGGATATAAGTAATCAATTTTGAATTTAAAAAACCCCTAGCGGACAAACTAGAAAACTTTGTATGCTTAGGAGAGATACCTCAACTCATCATAACATGAACTAAAGATCTTGTGTTCTTTTTCTGTGCTCTTATTGTATATTGAAATATGAACCATCTTGTATAGTTGGACAGCTTGCGCGCGCTGGTGAAGGGCGAGCTGACGTTCTTCCAGCGCGAGGTGCTGTGTGCGCTCATAGTGATAGAAGTACATGCTCGTGACGTCACTGCCACGCTCGTTGACGAGAACGTCAAGAACGTGAACGACTTCCAATGGACCTGTCAACTAAGGTACACGGTCACAGGACACAAGGGTACAGGACAACGTACTAAGTTACTAGCGTTTGACGACGAACCACGAAAAATGCGTAAAGTAAAGACGCGAAGTGAACTGAAGCTATGTCACTATTGCCCTGCCATTCAATGTCATTTTCATAACATTGCTGGCTGCCAAAAGAAACATGTACCACTATAACTCCCGCCAGAATGGCGCGCTATTCTAAAACGTCTGAATGACATTGACAGATGTCATAGGGACGAACGATAGGGCGTACTGATTTTCTTCTTAACAATAGTCTATCTGCAGGTACTACCAAATGGTCCGCGAAATGAACCCGCTAGAGGAGGGGGAGTCGCCAGAGATATACCAGGATGAGGACCATCTGGACACATCCGCGTACTACCGCCAGTTCAGCCAGAACACCTGCGACGTGCGCGCACTCAACTCCGTATTTACATACCAGAACGAATATTTGGGTAACAGGTAATATTATTCAGCATTCTAGATTATTTGTTCATCATTTACTACTGTAACATACTTTTTCCGTTTTTCAATTTAGTCTTACGTCTGTGACGAGATCTTACTATTTACAATGTCTTTGTTGACTTTAAATATGTTTCTGTTGTTAGCGGTCGTCTAGTGATCACGCCGTTGACTGACCGCTGCTACTTGACGCTGATGTGTGCTATGCACCTGCGCTTCGGCGGTGCGCCCGCCGGCCCTGCTGGCACCGGCAAGACTGAGACTACCAAGGTAAGTATGTAGATTTTAAAGAACTGCTTATTTAGAGTGCAATATGTATTCCTGCAGCTGACTCCAGATATCGAATGAAATGGTGTAGAGATGATGGCATCTAAAGTGTCCTTGTGCAATTGTTTATTTAGGATTTGGCGAAAGCGTTAGCGGTGCAGTGTGTGGTGTTCAACTGCTCAGATCAGCTCGACTTCATGGCTATGGGCAAGTTCTTCAAAGGACTGGCGGCGTAAGTCATATTAACATAGTAAATATAACTACAAACATAAAAGTATTATATCGTGGGCGTAATTTTACCTTTTTGGTCAGGTCCGGCGCGTGGGCTTGCTTTGACGAGTTCAATCGGATTGACATTGAAGTACTATCGGTGGTTGCTCAACAGGTAACAACATTAATATATCCAAGACAACTTATTAGTACCTATAATGGAGTTGATAATTTAGAATCTATTCCAGTAATTATTGCTTGATTTTAATTCCCAGGTGGTTACAATTCAAAAAGCTCAAATTGCGAAACAGGATAGGTTTATCTTTGAAGGTTGTGAGTTGCCGCTCAAGATGTCCTGCTCCGTCTTCATCACAATGAATCCGGGATATGCTGGTGACGAAAAAAACATATAGTACTAACTGACACTAAATCTACGATTCATCTTTTATCGTTCTTTGTTTCTCCTATCAGGTCGAACAGAATTGCCGGATAATTTGAAAGCTCTGTTCCGTCCGATCGCTATGATGGTACCTGACTACGCCCTCATCGCGGAGATCTCGCTGTTCTCTTACGGATTCTACGAGGCCAAGATCTTAGCGGGCAAGATAACGACCACATTCAGGCTTAGCTCTGAACAGTTGTCGTCACAGGTTACTGAAATATTGACATTTGTTACATGGAAATTATATTCGATAGAGTCTACTTATCTGTGACATGTATCAGGACCACTATGACTTCGGCATGCGCGCGGTGAAGACTGTGATCCTGGTGGCGGGGAACCTCATCCGTCAGATGCCGGACGGCGACGAGCGCCAAATCGTGCTGCGCGCGCTCAGAGATGTCAACGTACCCAAGTTCCTTGCTGATGATTTGCTGTTATTTAATGGTAAGCGTCATCCTTATTTTGACAACCAAAGAAATTTGCAGAGATCCTTAATTTGTCTTCACCAAATCGTAGGTCTTATGCCTTAATGGTTACATTAATTATATATTTTTTGATTTACAGGTATAATATCTGATCTGTTCCCTCGTGTTGAGATTCCTGTAGTAGACTACGGCATAATGGAACAGTCTATCAGGAACATACTAGTGAAGAGAGGTTATGATGAATTGTACAGTGAGTAACAACGTAGTTTTTTATGTTGGATTCGAATGAATTAAAATTTCCAAAGTAATTTAATCGTCGATTCAAATGGTTTGGTCTGTAATATATTTTTTATATATTCCAGCGTTTATCTTCAAGATAATTCAATTATACGAGACCACCGTGGTGCGACATGGCCTCATGTTGGTGGGACCAGCAGGATCCGGAAAAACAAAAGTGATTTTTCAATGTTTTTGAAATAGACAATAGTACAAAAATGATAATCATTTAATTTTGTTTGTGGTCTGTAGTGTTACGAGGTGCTACGCGACGCGTTGACAGCGATTAAGGGCAAATTGGCCCCAGACGGGTTCCCATTCACCCCGGTGCACACGTATGTCGTCAACCCCAAGTCTATCACCATGGGCCAGCTCTACGGAGAATTTGATCTGCAGACGCACGAATGGTAAACAACTATACTTCTTAGATTCTCAAGATGTTGATATATTTCTCACGTTCTTTTATATTACAAGTAGTTTTGTTCCTTTGGTGTTCAGGACGGACGGTATCTTGTCGAGTCTAGTGCGCGCCGGGATCGCAGTCGAGGATATGGACAAACGCTGGTACATCTTTGACGGGCCTGTGGACGCTGTGTGGATAGAGAATATGAATACTGTAATGAAGATATTTCTACCAATCTTTATAACCTACTTAAATTGACTACTGCTTATAATAAATTACGTTATGAATCTGTATCAGGTATTGGACGACAACAAGAAACTATGCCTATCCAGTGGTGAGATCATGAAGATGACGGACCGACAACGGATGATCTTCGAGGTGGCGGACCTGGCGGTGGCGTCTCCGGCCACGGTGTCGCGCTGCGGCATGGTCTATCTGGACGCCCAGGTGGTCGGCTTACCGCCGCTAGTCAATGCCTGGTTAAAGAGCAATCTGCCACCTGTAAGGGTTTTACTGACTTTTGATAAAATTTCCTTCTGTTCTGTTCTCTGTTTTCTTCTCTTTACTGTCTTTTTTTCTCCTTCTAGATAGGTGACAGTATCCGCAGGCTGTTGCCGGGTTTGATCGAGACGTACGTGTACCCCTCGCTGCAGCTGCTGCGCTCGCGGCTCACGGAGATCGTGCCTTCAATCGACAGCGCGCTCATGCTCAAGTTTCTGGAACTGCTCGACTTCCGGCTGCGGCCCCTCACCGGCAAGGACGACCGCCCGCCGCCCGCGCCCCCTTTCCTCGCACTCATGCGTGAGACGTTTATACTAAATCTTTCATGTGTCTTGATATAATAGACGATATCGTTAATTATAGAGATAGATAGAACTTTTACTAAGTTCTATCTATCTCTCTCTGTCTGCGCATCGCCTCCTCATTTTTGGGAGTCTGACCACTCGTCCTGGACATATCTCGGAGGGCGTTTCTCCATTCTATGCGATTCTCTGCGACTATAAAACCATCCATGTTTTTTAGTTCAAAGTTCTATAGCACGCTTTAAATCAAAAAGATAGAACCTCTATAGAGGCTTACTGGACAATTTTAACATTGGGTAATACTGTTGGCAGCGAGACTGGCGCCGTGCTGGGTTGTGTGGTCTGTGATCTGGTCCGTGGGCGCGACGTGTGACCACAACAGCCGCGCGGTATTCTCAGACTTCATGCGGGATTTGATGAGAGGTGCCGATATGAAAACACAGTTCCCAACCGAAGGGAGAGTCTACGACTACACGTAAGTATTGAAAAATAATTGTTTTATGTATGGTGTGTATGGCCTTGACTTCAATCTTTCTGTAATAGATTACACGATGGCGGTTTCACGGACCTTACGGAAGATGGTGAACCTGCCAATCCTTACTGGTACAGTTGGATGGCTAATGTTGAAGAGTATGAAGTGGATCCAGAGCGACCTTATTCAGGTATACAATATCTAACAATGGCTTAGAGACTGTTGGGAAGATTACAAAGGTTTTTTGTGTGGTTGTGAGTGTCATAGGCTATATTTTTTAGCATTTCTTATATGTAAAACGAAGCGATTTGTGGGTACGTCAAACTGTGTGGGTTTTTGTACTGCTTCAAATATTTTTATGTAATATATTTTATTTTTGTTCAATAAATAAAAATATGTGCTTTAAGGTCCAGCTCAATCTATACATATTTAACGTAAAGTATACGAAGTCCGTTGTGACAGATATCGAAGTGCCGACAATGGACAACGTTCGCAGCGCGGCGCTGCTGGGCTACAAGGTGACTAACTACAACCACGCGCTGTGCGCCGGGCCCACCGGCACAGGGAAGACGGTCACCGTCTCCTCCAAGCTGTCTCGCGGTCTACACAAGAAGTTTATCTGCGAATTCATCGTCTTCTCCGCGAGAACTTCCGCCAATCAGACGCAGGTCGGACTCTCTATTTGCGTGCTAATATTTAACTTTGGTGTTTTGTTAGTACTAAGTATTTATTCATTTATATGTTGGTATTAGGATGTGATAGACAGCAAGCTTGAGCGTCGCCGGCGCGGCGTGTTCGGGCCGCCACCCACCAAGCGGCAGGTGTTCTTCATTGACGACCTCAACATGCCCGCGCTAGAGGTGTACGGCGCGCAGCCGCCTATTGAACTGCTCAGACAGTTTATGGACTTCTCGGGTAAAAAGAAAAAACAAATCAGACATTCTATGACCTTTATCCTTTCTCGATTCTTTGATTCGAACAAAAATAATACAGAAGGCAAAGTGAACAAAATTTTTTGTCTAATACTTTCTCCCCAGTGCTACATTAGTTGTCAAGTTGAGTATTTTTAGCATTTTTAGTCAGTTTAAATAAAATTAATACTGTTGATATGTGCTTTTGAGGCCATCAATAGGTTGCGTTAGATCATGTAAAAATGTCTCAAGTGAAGTATTAAGTCTGGATTGAAGGGTGGTACGACCGCACCAGTATTGGAGACTTCAGGACGCTGGTGGACGTGGGCATTGTGGCGGCGATGGGCCCCCCCGGAGGCGGCCGCAACCCCGTCACCATGCGCCTCATGCGACACTTCCATTACATCTCCTTCACTGAGATGGAGTATAGCAGCAAGGTTGGATATAACCCTTGTTAAAGACTATATTTATATAGTAAACAATGATAAATAATGATGACTTTATTTTTTTATTCCTATTTTAGTATGCAATCTTTAGCGTGATACTCAGTTCCTGGACGAGGAATTTCAACAACGTTAAGATTCGCGAGGAGCCGTTTTTGAATAGTTCCATTGAAGTATTCATGTCTCTGGTGGAGGAGCTGCTGCCGACGCCTACCAAGTCCCACTACACTTTCAACTTGCGGGACCTTAGCAAGGTGTTCCAGGGCATCCTGATGATGGACCCGGCTTCCATACAGGTTATATTCGATTAATTTATATGCTAAACGGTGAACTAATGAAGTCTGATGATGAAAATTACATTTATTGTGATGCAGGACGAAGATCAGGTAATAAGGCTGTGGTATCACGAGCATCTTCGGGTGTATCAAGATCGTCTTGTCAATAAAGAAGATAGGATGTGGTTTGCGAAGTAAGTCATGTGTCTGTATTGAGTTTTTTTTAATCTATTCAGTGGTCCCATTGAATTGATTCTTACTTCTCCTATTTTAGATTGATGAATAAGAAAATTGAGACACGTTTCGGTAAGAAACCGAATGACATCATCGGAGGGAGACTCATGTTGTTCGGAGACTTTATGGACATCGGTGCTGACGATCGCAAGTACATCGAGATTCTCGACTGGGATGAGGTAAGGGCTGCTTAGTTTAATTGTTAAAAACGGCAGAAGATAAAAGAACATTAACGTAACGTAATGCCTGGTCCAGATGCACGAGATTCTCCAGCACTACATGGAGGACTATAATCTGTCGTCAACGGTGCCCATCGACTTGGTGTTATTCGAAGACGCGGTGTCGCACTTGTGTCGCATCGCGCGCATCGTGCGCCAGCCCATGGCCAACGCGTTGTTACTGGGAATGGGCGGCTCGGGTACGTCAACAATACCTTGGCCTTTAGGGAGCCTAGCTAATGATTTCTAGTTGGTCTAACACTGGTCCATTTATGTCCAGGTCGTCAGAGCTTGTCGCGCCTGGCGGCGCACATGGCGGAGCTCATTTGCATCCAGATTGAAATCACCAAGTCATACGGCATGACGGAGTGGCGCGACGATATTAAACAGACTATGATCAAGGCGGGAGGCGAGAATAGGGGCATCGTCTTCCTTTTCTCAGATGCACAAGTAAGTTGTGTTCACATATCTTTAGTATCTTTGTTTTACTATATAAGAAAATGAATTCGACATCGTCGAGTTTTTAATGTTATTAGATAAAAATGGAATCGTTCCTCGAAGACCTGAACAACGTGCTGAGCTCCGGCGACGTGCCCAACATCTACGAGGCGGAGGACCTGGACCGCGTGTTCCAGCTGGTGCGGCAGGCGGCCATGGAGCAGAACCTCGCGCCCACCAAGACCAATCTGTTCGGCTGCTACCAGCGCCGCGTGCGCACCAACCTGCACATCGTCATTGTTATGAGTCCCGTCGGAGAGGTCACTGTCAATTTGTATCTAATTGACATAAAATTCAAGAAAATCGTATTACATTGCTTTAGAGTACACCTTTGCATAAACTATCTCACAATTGTTTTGCGATTGTCGATTGTTTCCCAGCGTATTCAACTGTTTAGTTGCACAACTAAAAATTCCACTAGTGCGCGCACAGCCATGTAAGCTCAAGATCGGAAAATAAACAATATACAAACTCGAAGTCTCCCTAAAATATTTTACTGTTGTTTCCTCCGTGTAGATATTCCGTGCTCGACTGCGCCAGTTTCCCTCGCTGGTGAACTGCTGCACCATCGACTGGTTCAGTGAGTGGCCCAAGACGGCGCTCGAGTCCGTCGCCAAACACTTCTTCGAGAATATGCCCGAGCTGCAGACGAACGACACTGTTATACTTTCGATGGTTGTGAGTACAAAAGTATTAAGTAAATAAATGAAGATGGTGTTTTATAGCAGTTTGGACACAAGTATGATATTTACCACTATTACGTTTGTATCAGTCGGTGTGCTGCTTCGCACACCAGAGCGTGGTGGACGCGAGCACGCGCTTCCTGGCGCGGCTGAACCGCCTCAACTACGTCACTCCCATGTCCTACATGGAGATGCTCGCCGCATACGCTGAGATGTTCAAGAAGAAGCAAGCTGCTATTCTGAAGGAATCTAATGCGTTGAAGACTGGTATAGTATTTTATCTTTATTCTTTATTACGATGAAAGCACACTAGATTTTAGACTAGTTAAAACTTTAATGCTAGATTCTGGAGCCGATACATGAGTGTGGAGATACATCGGTAGAGGTAGACCTAGGAGGAGATGGATGAATTGCGTGTAAGGTGACATAATTAAGATGGGTGTAATGACCGAGATGACGGACGACAGAGCTATTTGAAGGACGAAAACCCAAGCCGACTCTACGGGAGTAGGAGAGATGACTTCTAGAGCCTATACACGGAGATTGGTAGGATCATGATAGCAGAGTACATTTGAATTACCTCAACGATGACAATTAAGGAAATCTTGGCAGGTTTAAACAAACTAAACCAAACAGAAGTGGAAGTGAAGCAGTTGCAGATCGAGCTGGCGGAGCTCAAGCCGATGATGGAGCGCGCCGCGGACGAAACCAAAAAAGTCATCGAGCAGATCGCGACAGACACTGTTAATATTTATTTATTGATATATTTGACCATTCATAATATATGTATAGAAGTGAAAAGAAATAAATTTTCTTAGATATTTGATTTTAAGTGTTACTATTTAGGCCATAGCAGAGGAAGCTAGAATCAAAGTGGAGAAAGAACAAGCTGTGGCGGAGAAAATGGCAGGCGAAACATCTGCGATGGCTGAGGAGGCGCAAAAAGACTTGGGTAAGTTGCATTAATGTGTTATGCAATTTATAAATGTCATTTATATATATAATATTTACTTTTACGCAGACGAGGCTATGCCAGCTTTATTAGCCGCAGAGAAAGCACTGAAAGAACTAAATAAGAATGACATAGTTGAAGTGAAGGCGCTAAAGAAGCCTCCGGCTGGAGTGATGCTTGTTGTTGAAACACTCTGTGTAGTCTTTGACATTAAGCCTATAAAAGTGAGTATGATGCACAAGTTAATAAGGTAGCATCTTTATAGTTTTTAACAAAGAATCTAAAAAGTTAATCCGTGAATTGATTTAGGAGCCTGGTGCGAATTTCGGTGAAAAAGTTTTAAACTACTGGAAGCCAGGGTCTCAGATGCTTGCGGACCCTGGTGGCTTCCTGGATTCGTTAATGAAGTATGATAAAGAGAGCATCACTGAGGATATGATAAAGAAATTGACGCGTTACGTGAATAATCCTGATTACCAACCGGCCAAGATTCAGAAGGTGAAAAACAAAAAATATAAATTACATTTTAATGTTCCGATTAAATAAAAGTGGCATGTGAGATTTTAAATTTTGGTGGTATCATTGAGCTGGATGGAATCGTTTATCTCTCTTATTCTCCTGCCAGGTATCAAAAGCTTGCATGTCGCTGTGCATGTGGGTGCACGCCATGTATAAGTACTACCACGTGAACAAAGCCGTTAAGCCCAAAAAGGACGCCCTCGCCAGAGCGACACAAGAACTCGCTGCAGTAGAAGGTAATTCCTAAATATTAATATTGTATTTAGATGTTTGTCCATCGGTATCAATAAATCTAATCTTATTTCAGCCGTACTTGCTAATGCCAAGGCAAAAATGCAAGCCCTACTATTGGGTATTGCCAAGTTAAATGCTTACCTACAAGAAAAAGAGGAAGAAAAAAAGAGAATGGAAGAAGACATCAACCAGTGTCTGGCGAGAATGGATCGAGCTAACAGGTCCAGATGAAATTATTGTGGGGTTATGGTTGTCCAAAATTTTCTTCAAATGTGAATATACCATGATTTATTTTTTGTAGATTGCTTAACGGCTTGTCAAGCGAACGAGTACGTTGGATTCAAACCATCAAAGACTTGGATGTAGCTATAGTTAATTTGATTGGAGATATTCTTCTTAGCGCGTGTAAGTATTGTAACCTCTATTTCGTATTTTAGAGATTTTATTGGGCGTCCTTTTAAACTGCTACCTATTGTATTGTTTGTTTGCAGGCGCCGTTGGTTACATAACACCATTCACCGAAGAGTTTCGTAAAGAATTATTGATTGAATGGATCGAACATATGATTGTAAGAAACAATGTCTTTTATGCATCATTTAATCTTAATGAAAATGATAAAAAGTCAAATAAAAACTCACCCTTATATAGGAAGTAGCAGTACCACATACAGACGGTGCTACGCCACTCTCGGTTTTGGGTGACGCTGTACAGATAAGGCAAGTAATCAAATTCAATAATGGCTGAGATGTAAACATTCAGACAGCTTGTCTATTTCCACATTCGATATTTGATGTATAACAGGACGTGGCAGATGTACGGTCTGCCCCGAGACCCGCTGTCGGTAGAGTCTGCGGTGTTGATGACGAATTCGCGAAGATGGCCGCTCATCATCGACCCTCAAACGCAAGCTAATAAATGGATCAGAGCTATGGTACTGTCGAGTTGTTAAACACTCGATATTTGATTTTATGAGGTATCATTTTCAGTCATTTTCCTTATTTCTACGCGTTGTCTATGTTTAGGGTAAAATAGAAGGGCTGATCGTGTGCAAGCCAAACGACAGGGACCTGCTGAGAAGCTTCGAGTCCGCTCTGCGGTTTGGCAAACCCCTGTTACTGGAGAATGTCGGACAAGAACTGGATCCAGCGCTAGACCCAGTGTTGAAGGTGATTTATTAACTAATTTGAGTTGTGCTTATTGTCCCGTTTTTGATGAGATAATCGTTAACTCCATTAAAAAAAATGGGTATTATTTTGCAGCGTCAATATTTCCGACAAGCGGGCCAACTGGTACTAAAACTCGGAGACTCACTTATTCCTTTCGCCGCGGGCTTTCGTCTCTACATTACAACCAAGTTGCCTAACCCGAAGTACACGCCAGAGACTTCTGTCAAAGTGCAGATTGTCAACTTTGCTCTTGTGCCAAGGTACGGTTGGCATCATCTACTGTATAATAAACTTTTAGGGAAAATGTCCTCTTTCAGTCCATCCCCTCCTCCTTCAATTAAAAGAAGGCAACGCACTTGGAACAAAAATATCTTTGGCTTAAATAGAAAAAGTTAAGTAGATTTAACTGGAGGCACTTTAAGCCTAGTATTAGTAATTACGGACGTTTTCTTTTTTTTTTTTAATTTCACATGGTAGGGTGTTTTGATTCACAGTGGTCTAGCAGAACAGCTCCTGTCTATAGTGGTGGCGCAGGAGCGACCAGATTTAGAAGAGCTGCGCGGGCAGCTGATTGTGACGCGCGCGCAGATGGCGGTGCAGCTGGCCGACATGCAGTCTGACATCCTGTACGGCCTCTCCAACAGCGAAGGCTCACCCGTAGACGATTTGCCTCTCATCTTGACCCTAGAGGCGATCAAAATAAAGAGCGCTGAGATTATTGTTAGTCTTATTTTGATTTCGGAGAATGAATTGATAAAATTTTCAATTTGGAACATGTTCATTGACGTAATTTGCTTCAGGTTAAAGTCGAAGATATTGAGAGGACTTCGAAGGAGATCGACGAGGCTCGTCTCGACTACGTGCCGGTTGCCAACAGGGGACAGATTCTGTTCTTCTGCCTGTCGGGCATGGCCAACGTGGACCCCATGTACCAGTACTCGCTCGAGTGGTTCGTCAAGCTTTTTGTAAGAAGCATGGCTGAGACTGAAATTGTTGGTAAGTGCACACATATACATGGTAAATATCATCCATTTTCAAAAACGCCGACCATCTCAAAAAGACTTTTTATCTTTTTAAAGCCCCACAGTATTAACTGTAAATAAACTATTGATGTAAGACTTTGTTAATTAGCTGTGACTAATTCTTCGTGTTTTTGTTCTCAGAGGACATAATGGAGCGCGTGGAAATAATAATCGAGCACTTCACGTTTCTGCTGTACCAAAACGTGTGCCGCAGTTTGTTTGAGCGTCACAAGCTGCTGTTTGCGTTTCTTCTCGCCGCGCGTATCAATCTAGACAAAGGCATTATCAAAATGAACGAATACAACTTTTTACTCATCGGAGGCAAGATTGAAGAAGTAACTGCATTATTTTATATCAACTTTTCCCAATTTCAATTGATAATTGTTGATAAAACTTAATACAATGAAGCCTTTATTTGGTGGTGCAAGTAAAATTCTGTTTAGGAAATGGAAAATCCGGAGCCGAAGTGGATATCTGAGCGAATGTGGCTTGACATGCAACAACTAGCCTCGGTGCCCAGCATGAACCAGTTCGTCAAAGACTTCCCTGAGCACACTAAATTCTTCCGCACTTACTATGAGGCTTGGAACCCACATAAGTAATCATATCAAGTACTTGATCTTACGGAATCTACATTAGGAGACGATACATTGATATTGTTTTACAGAATGCCCTACCCTAAGCCTTTGGACAGTCAACTAGACTCCTTCCAGAAGTTGCTGGTGCTTAAATGTCTGCGACCCGACAAGGTCATACCTGGCTTCCAGGTAATGGTTACTTGCTGACTTAATTCTAGTTTTCTTAGTCAGTTCTTCCTGAATTTTGTAATTGGGCTGATGGTCTTTTTTGGTGCCAAATATAACAAAATCTATCAAAGTCGTTTGTAATGCAGGACTATGTAGTGGTAAGCCTGGGCGCGCGTTTCGTGGAGCCGCAGCCAGCGGACCTCGCCGCGCTCTACGGCGAGTCTGACCCTCTCGCGCCCATCATATTCGTGCTCTCCACTGGCACAGACCCTGCCGCTGGTAATCACATAAATACCTGTATTTAAGAAATACAATTTAAAAAAGAATTGCTTCAGAACTTTTCGTGTCTATGATACTGGCATTCTTGTTAAGATTAGTAATGTTTTGTTTTTGGTTCTTAGATTTATTGAAATTTGCCGAGAAAATGAAGATGGGTAAACGTTTCGAGAGCATATCACTGGGTCAGGGTCAGGGTCCGCTTGCAGAGAGCATGATGCGGAATGGCTGTGATTTCGGCAATTGGGTCTTCTTTCAGGTAACGCCATAAATTCGTGATGAACATATGGATGCCAAGGTTTACTTAAATGATTTGCTGAATTTCACAGAATTGTCATTTATCGCCATCTTGGATGCCAGTTCTGGAAGTTAATGTAGAACACATTCAGCCAGAAGCCGTGCACAAGGACTTTCGGTTGTGGCTCACCTCCACTCCATCGCCTTTCTTCCCTGTTGCCTTACTGCAGAATGGTATTACGTCTTTTGTATGATTACTTTGTGAATTCTTATTAGAGAAGATTCAGTGTTTGATGTTTGTTTTGTTTCTTTTCTGTTTAAGGTTATAAAATGACAGTGGAGCCCCCGCGCGGGATTAAAGCAAACTTACTTAAAGCTTATATGAATCAAGTTCCAGATTTCAATGATTACATCAATTCTGGTGACAGCAAAGTGCCTAATTTCAAGGTTTTATTACATTTGCTAAGTAACTTCAGCAATATCTCCTCGAATACTGCATTGAATAAATGTATTGTAAATTCTGTTGCAGTGGCTACTGTTCTCTCTGTGTTTGTTCCACGGTGTAGTACTGGAACGGCGCAAGTTTGGTCCGCTCGGCTTCAATATCCCCTACGAGTTCACGGACGGCGACCTACGCATTTGCATTTCACAACTACACATGTTCCTTACCGAGTACATCGAAGTGCCGCTCAGGGTAAGATCTTGAGGGTTACCGCTCTTTAAACGCACAGTTCGTTGTAATTCTCTGATGATACTAACGTGGGCTAGATGCTGACCTACACTGCGGGGCACATTAACTACGGCGGGCGCGTGACGGACGACTGGGACCGGCGCTGCCTACTCTACTTGCTGGCGGACTATTACAACATCTCCGTGCTCAGTGAACGGTATTACTTCGACGAGAGCGGCGCTTACAAACAGGTTACAAACTTCATCATCTCCACCTTATCCTACTCCCGTAGGGCGCACCGGGTTTTGGTCCTCCAAATAACTCTATCATCTCAGTCATCATTACCTTCTAGATCATGTTACCTTTCACGCTATCCATCCACACTCATAACAAACGTGCTTCTTGTTACATGTGATTCATGAAACAGGATAATATTAAGGAGATATAATTAAAAGCGATTGCACTAAAGGTTACATACAACACAAATGCATTGTTGAGAATTAAACGATTTATTCCATGTTATTTATCTTTTTATTCATCCCTCTGATTTAACAAAACATCACCATGGTTACCCCTTACATTTTATAACCAAAGAGTATCAAAAAAATAGCTAATTATCAAAGAATATTTACAGTATATATATACGTAACACTATATTGGTAGATAAGTGAAAACTTGAAAATTAATTTCACTTCTTTATTGGTGTAATGATGATTAGCAATCGTCGGCGGCGAATATAGAAGACTACACGAAGTACATTCGCACGCTGCCGCTGAACGACGACCCCGCACTGTTCGGTCTGCACAGCAACGCTAATATCAGTTACGCCGTGTCCGAGACCAACCAGAACGTCAGTTAGTGTGCATTAACTTACTATTTGATCTTACAAAAGGTATACTCCCTTATTACAACTGCATCAATATGGTTGTTTAAATCATTTTAAAGGGAATTTAAAATTTAAAGCAACTTTTTTAGATTGTTTACTTCATACTAATGTTATAAATGCAAAAGTTTAGATGGATGGATGGATGTTTGTTAGAGTTTGTAGCCTTAAGGGATTTCGATCAAATTTGGTATGGATATAGACGATAGTCTGGAAGAACACATAGGCTACTCACTTTTGTTTTTTTTATTCCACGCAGACGGAGTCGCGGGCGTCAGCTAGTATAGAATAAGTGTAATGTATTTGTTTTCGCCAGGTACTTTACGTGATCTCCAACCAAAGGAGGTAAGCAGCGGAGAGGGAATGTCGGCTGAGGAGATGACGGAGCGCGCGGCGAAAGATATTTTAGAAGTCCTGCCACATTTGCTTGATCAACAATACATTGCTACTAAGTAAGCAATATATTTAACACAACAGTGGTAGTGCCCGCTTTAACATCTTAGCACGAATGGGCCGGCACGCCCGGTGTAGTACCACGACCACACAGAAGACAGGCGTGAAATGGAAGCAATTCCGTGTTTCGTCTGATGAGTGTGGTGCCGGAGGCCTAATTTAAGTCCCTTTCTCTTTACCGCCCTTTTCTTGTAGGGAGAGGATGGAAAGGGAAGGTGGATTTGATGGTGGAGGAGATGCATAGGAAGGGGCATTATCCTCTATATGTGGGTCTCCTCCTCCGTTGGATAGGGGTAGGTAAAGCATCTGCGATCGCGGATGTCTACGGGCAGCGGTCGCGTCGCCATTTTGGCGGATTCAGGTGGCCGCTTGCTCGTTTGCCACCTTATGTTATAAAAAAAAAAACTTACCTGGTATTTACGTGATAGGAAAGAAAGGGAAAAAACTAGAAGGTTAATATTTGTTTCTTTTTAGCTATCCCGTGTCCTACAAGGAATCATTGAATACCGTGCTGATACAAGAAGCGATCAGATATAATAAATTGTTGGTTGCCATCGGTAATTCTTTAAAGTAAGTTAACAATTTGTAATTGTATTTTGGATGTTACCATATTTTGTTATGACGGTCATTAAACGAATCAATCTGGTACATAGGGATCTATTAAAAGCCCTCAAAGGGCTGGTGGTGATGTCGGAGGCTCTGGAGAGTATGGCGGGCAGTCTGACGCGGCAAGTCGTGCCCACAATGTGGAGTTCCAAGGCTTACCCTTCGCTTAAACCTTTAGGTGTTTACATTTTTATCAGCTAATAGAATTTTATTGTAAAATGATTTGGTCTTAATTTTAAAATAAATTACGAGATAGTAATGTTTGCAGAATTGTAATAGATGAGGATGCTCCAGGTATCCAAATATATCTTTTGTGAGGGAGTACCCTTGGCAAAAGCCTATCGTATCGACCGTTTAGAACGGGCGCACAACTTTGACTCAACTATCGCACAACTGTTTGATCGCACGACTTTGGTTGCACAACTAACAATCGAGTAATGTGCGCACCTCCGTATAAGTTCATAAGAATCAACTTAGTTGATTAAAAATGACATATCTAGCAGATTTTAATGGTATGGGGCTGTTACGATAACTAGAAACTATTGCCCAGGTGCGTGGGTGAAGGATCTATGCCAGCGCGTCCTGTTCATGCAGCAGTGGGCGGAAGGCGGCATCCCCAAGGTGTTCTGGATCTCGGGCTTCTACTTCCCGCAGGCGTTCCTCACCGGGGCGCTGCAGAACTACGCAAGGAAGCACGTCATCGCTATCGATACTATAGCTTACGCTTTTGAGGTTAGTCTCTTCCGTTTATCAATGTAATGTCAACTATTAGAAATCTTAGGGAAAATTCATCAGATGAGATGCAGAAAGAAACAAAGAAGAATTGTATTTATTTACGACTAGCTGTTGCTCGAGACTTCGTCGGCGTGGATTAGAAAAAAAGGTAAAACATGGCCTATGTTACTCAGTGATAAAATAGCTTTTTAATGGTGAAAGAATTTTTGAAATCGGCCCCATATTTTTTGAGTTATTTCAATATAAAAAATACAAATCTTACGTCTTTATATTAGTATAGATAGATTTATTGAACATTTCTACCCTAGTATAAGCAATAACGATCATAATATGCTCATACGTGCTGGTAATTATGCAATATGAGTATACTAAACTGGTATTTGTTGTAATTGTGTCCAGCCCCTGGCGGGGCCACCGGCGAAGAAGCCGGAAGACGGATGCTGCGTGCGCGGCTTGTACCTGGAGGGCGCGCGCTGGAACATGGGCGACATGTCACTGGAGGAGAGCAGAGCCAAGGAATTGTACACTGGTAATTCATTGTTGTGTGGAGTTGTTATTTAACTAGTTTTCGCCCGCGACTCCGTCCGCGCGGAATTAATAAAAGCAAATGCAAGTAGCCTTTGTGTTCTTCCAGACTATCCTCTACATCTATGCCAAATTCCATCGAAATCTGTTCAGCTGTTTAGGCAAACTCTAACAAACATCCATGATGTATGGATTCATTTCATTCATCCATCCATATAAATTTTGACATGATAATCGCCTTATCTAGGTCGTCCTAGTAGTTGTAAACTCTATTTCAGAGATGGCAATAATCTACATGAAGCCGGAGCAGGGTCACAAGCTGCAGCAGGGGCTGTACGAGTGCCCCACGTACAAGACGCTGCTGCGCGCTGGCACGCTGTCCACCACTGGCCACTCCACTAACTACGTGATGACAATAGAACTGGCCACGCATAAACCACAAGCCCACTGGATCAAGCGGGGAGTCGCGCTCTTCTGTGCTCTCGACTACTAGGACAACAGAAGTCGACGATAAGAGAGAGACTGGCAATTCAATTTAAGATGGCGCGTTTTCCTTTTGTGTATAAAGATAACGAGAGAAAAAGAGATAGGTGTAGTTTATCTTTACGCATGGATATGATGCAAATTGATGTTGTTTTGTTTTTTTATTTGTTTTTTAAATCCGTATCAAGTTTCTATTGTCAGTTGTATTAATTAGTAAATAATAAAAGTTATTTTAATTTCAAGTGTCTTTTTATTCGTTTTACCAAGGAATATAAAATAGTTTGAACAAATTGGTTATTTTGTAAAGTCAAACGTAATGGTTTTAATTCATGATGCAAATAGTACGCCACATTTATCGTAACATGTTAATGGGACCGCATTTAAATTGAGTGGTCGTTTCTTCAGCCTTTTGTGTACATTTGTGTTGGACGCTAATTAATTTCTATTATCAAAAACGTTCTGTTCATGCTAACAATATATATCACACTTAGTTTAAAAAATCTATTGTCTAAACAAATTTATTTCTTGGTAACATTTATTTACACATATGCTTTGATATTCATTTATTATTATTACTAGAGTAATAAGAAACCGAGTAATGACGAAAAAATACATTCAATTTTGTTGATCCCTGCTGTTAAGATGGCCAGTGTTATTTGACTGTATGTCATGCTGTTTTACTACCCCGTAGTAGAAATATTAGTTGGCTATTTTTAGTATCAATTCTTATTATTCCAGTACAGTAGCACGCAAATCAGCACAGTATAGACGCAAACTGACGCTTGAGTCAAATTCAATGGCCTGGCGAATGCAAATTAGCTAACGTACTGGCATACTGTGTATTCGGACTATTCCCAACCATCATCCCGTTCTTTTCCCACGTAAGAATAATAATTGATATCTAAGGAATAAAGTTAGCGAAACATTGTACGTAAATGTTTTTAAGTCGCAGTACTATCCCTCGAGACTGGAAGAAAAATGTTTCGTAATCTACACAACTAATGGAATCTGTTAATGTAACCGCCATATAAGCAGAAATACATCCTAACTTAATGAGCATACTCGTATATGTACAGATTAAGTTAATAAGTTTTTACTTAAAGCGTATTTTTGTATTTTATAACGAATGTTATACATTTACAAATACGATAACATTTTTTAACTCGAACGACTATTTTTACGTTAAAAAGAAACTAAATGAATTAAATTAAAGTGAAAATTTAAATTTAGAGATTTTCCTTGATTATCTAAACAATGTGACAAAACAACAAACGTATTTCTATCTCACCGATTGTTAAGCTCGTAAACATAACTTCTAATACTTAACGGTGAAATCGTACAAAGGGAATAAAATCCGTAACTTGAATGCTCGAAGTGCGAGTAAACAGAGCAACTGAAGTTGTTTAAACTTTAATACTCTCTTATAGGACTTTACAATTGTATTGTTTTTCAGCATTTTAATTAAAAAACGAGTAATTATTAGGTAAAAGCGGGCGCACATATGATCTAAACTATCGCAGAGAAGTTGTGCGATTGTCGATTGTTTCGCAGAAAATTCAACTGTTTAGTTGCACAACTAAAAATCGGCGAAGTGTACGTATAATCGCATAGGAATCAAAGCGAGACTAAACAGTTGTGCTATAGTTTAGTTACAGGTGTGGGCACACTCTTAATAAGTAAGCATGTTAAATTTCATGTAACCTCAGGAAAATCTTAAGAAACTAACGTAGACGTTTCCGAGGAAAAAATCTACAGTAAAATTTTAAAGTTCATTTATAAAATATTGACAAAAAATAACAGGGGACACCCGGGTTTGAACCGGGGACCTCTCGATCTGCAGTCGAATGCTCTACCACTGAGCTATATCCCCATATATCTAGTTACATTAAAACTAGCTTACTAAGAAATATGCTTTTATTTAAAACAGAAAAGACTAGTATAAATTCAATAAGAAACTGACCTTCAAATATTTGAAGAACTCTAAACTCCGATAAAGACATTTGTACTTGCTTATTACGAAATTTATTTCGTAGAATTATTTTATTATCGCCTTAAAATTATTAAAACACCAATACAAAATTCGACTTAACATTTTCATCACGTCCACCAAATTGCGTAACGGAGAGACGTTTTTGAATAACTTCTCTATATTTTTACATCTTCAATGGCCGTTGAGCGTGTCGTTATTTAGTTCTAAAAGCCCGAAACGTCCTACTGATTAACATGCCCCTAACTTTTATTACGATAATAAAGTACGTTTTCCTCACCCTTATTGCCGTTTTTTAACTGTTTTAATTAAATGAATTTAAATATTAATTGGTGAAAACGATGAGTCACCTACGACTTTAAATATCAAGCGTACTTTCATTATTCTAGACTAAGGGCCTGTCCCACCAAATTGTAAATTGTCTGATAATGATGCAACGTGTAAAATATGTCATGGATATCGGATTTTGTTACCTTATCTGACAGTGACGTCGTTTTAAGCTATCTGAGCCTTTCTCAGCCAGTGATGGGACATTCCTTAAATTTTAACAACTCACTTTATGAAAATTAGGACAAAAGTATTCCTAAAATAAAAAAAAAACATTTTTATCTATACTTCTTTAATTAAGTATACTAATATTATAAAGGTAGGAGATTTATATTTTTGTCTGTATTGAAATAACTTAAAAACTAATGGTCCGATTTCAAAAAATGTGTAGTGGTAAAAAGTGGTAGTGCCCGCTTTAACATCTTAGCACTGCAGGGCCGACACGTCCGGTGTAATACCACGACCACACAGAAGACAGGCGTGAAATGGAAGCAATTCCGTGTTTCGTCTGATGAGTGTGGTGCCGGAGGCCTAATTTAAGTCCCTTTCTCTTTACCACCCTTTTCTTATTAGAAGAGGATGGGAACGGAAAGTGGATTTGACGGTACAGGAGATGCATAGAAAGGGGAAATATCCTCTTTATGTGCGTCTCCTCCTCCGTCGGATAAGATTAGGCAACGCATCTGCAATTGCGGATGTCTATGGGCAGCGGTCGCTTCGCCATTATGGCGGATTCAGGCCGCTTGTTCGTTTGCTACCTAATGTTATAAAAAAAGCTACGTTATCGCTAAACCTAGGCTATATTTTCAAATACCGCGTGGACGAACTCGCGTGCCACAAGTTATGTATAAAGAGATATTAATTTCTCTAATAAATTTTATAGTTCAATTAGTGTCAAATATTAATTAATGAGGAACTATCATGTTCTCTTGTTAATATAATTTGTAATGTATCGCAACAGACGGATATCGATTGCATTCGTGATATATGACTATCGATTTATAACATGAAGTTATTTATGATGTTGCCTTCACGACTTTGTAACTCCGTAAGGTATACAGATATTGTGTGTACTGAACTTGAATATATTTGGACATGTATTGACAATATTATATGTTAACGTAAAATGATACTAACACACTTTTTTATGGTCATGTCTGCAAGCGTAATGACTAATCCATCGAACGGTACAGTGTAAGGTGGCAGGCACCAGACCTAGGAGATCACCTATGAGATGGACTGACCAGATAAGAACGGCTATGGATGTACCCTTGCATCATTGTGCAAAAAAAACAGCGTACAGAGAGGAGTGGCAGCGGCTTGTGAAGCGGGTCACTGAGACATAATGTGTGTGAACCACGACGAGTCTGTAAATACTTAAGCGACAAAAAAGAAGAAAAAGGAAATTTTACTAAAGCACTTTTTATCATAAATTTATTGTTATCATAGTAAAGGACATATTTATCTAATAATTTTAGGCCTTGTAAATTTTGATTCTTCCTTAATTAGATTCGGTTTTAGTTTGGTTATTTCTACGATTCAATTACCTAATGCAATAAAATTACTAAAGTTCGAATGGATGGATGTTACTACGCATCTTTAACACGGACAGGACATAGTTTGGAAGAAAACAGAGTTACAAAGTATTTTTTTAATTCCGCGCTTTTAAAAATGTAGGCAAAAGCTAGTGGACTTTCGACAAGCAAAAACGTGTTATAGGAAACAAGGAAAAGACAAATTCCATAGGAAACAATATGAAGAATGACGTCACACGTCACTATAATGGTGCAGTTCATTTGTCTTCCTTTGAAGGCTCCTGAGGGAGCATCGCTACTGGTACACGAGGTTTGTCCCGGATAATGGTTATTGGTAACCTATACAACAAACAAACTACTTCCTTTATATATATTTTATGACTAAAACTAGATACTAATTGAACTCTAATCTGTTTTTTTAAGATTCCTGCTTCTTTTATAACTTGGATAAATTTTTTAGACATCTTCATGCCGCCCTCTCGTTCCCCTAACAAATTTTTAGTCAGAGACCAGATGTTGATGACAGATGTATCTTTATTTCGTTATCAACGACGCAAATACTTCATCTTCCCGAAATCTGGAATATTTTTTTTAGATATTGCAAACAGATACTCCAATTTTATTATATGTATAGATTTAATGCATGCTAATTGAATCTTGTTATTAAATCTGTTCACAAGAGAATAGAATCCGTTGCTCATCTTAAAACTTCTTTGGCTGAAACTTTTCTCTTTTGGTGTGAACTTTCATAGTAAAATGACTGAGCAGTGCAGCTTTTGGCTCATAAATTAAACTCCCAACTTAACTGTAAATGCTTTAACTTTATCATGAAACTTAACATTTTAGTGCCAGAAACTTTGGTGTAAATATTTTGCATTTATAATTTATTTACATTTAAGATAAAATTTTTAAATTAAAAATAAAACTTCGATTGCTTGCAAAAACTAGTACAGAAGTGATTATAAAACACAATATAGAGTATTTAAGAATTTTAAAATTCGCACTAAAGGACCAATAGCTGGAGGGAAAGGCACATCTTAATACAAGCACACTGTTTGACCGGGTTTTCGTTCTCCATATAACTCTATCATCCGTCATCTCAGTCATCACTCCCTTGATCATGTCACCTTTCACGCATTCCATCCATCTCTTTCTAGGTCTACCTCTACCGGTACTTTCATATATTACACTTTATCACGTTATTTCTCATACTCTTAAATTCCATTTCAATAACTATTATAAATGCGAAAGTTTAGATGGATGGATGTTTGTTAGAGTTTATTGCCTAAACGGATGAACGGATCTCGATGTATTTTGGCATAAATAAGAAACACATAGGCTACTTGCTTCTGAGAGGGAGTC